TTACAGGAAATGTGGATTATTTTCTTTATTGTTGTTAAAATACTATTCAAGAAAACTCGCAGGCACTAATTTTAATTAGGAGCATATTATTCAGGACTAACAAAATACACGAATAATAATATTTTTCTGTCATTAATAAAATGTACAAATTTTTGCTTTTGATCTTTGAACAGCTTTTCTCCTTCTGTATGTGCTCTTAAGTTATGATTTGGTGCCACTTATTAATTTGATTAAGAACTCAGTATGTTCATTTTACTTAATTTCTCCATTTTTGCACAGAATAATCAGCTCTCTTATTCAGAAAAGTGAGCTAATTTGAAAAAGCAAGAACTAATTTCAGACAAATGCTTCCGCAAGATCATTTCATAGACTTGTGCATGCCCTATTTCCAATGACTTAACAACTGCATTAAATTTTTGCTGGCTTCATTGCATTGCTGGACAGGCTGATAGGGTGATATAGAGATGTTGTTCATCTAAACCATAGTCCAGCAAAGCAGTTGAGCATATGAATACTTTAAACATATCTATACTTCACTAAAATTAATTTAGCTGCTCACACGTTCACTTTTATGTGTATGCTTTGTTGGACCGAAGCCACAATTACCAATCTGCTAGAGTGGAGCTTAGTAAAATATATTGAAAGGTACCATCTCTGTGAATAAAACTAACAGTTTGGGAATGTGATAACTATAAAATGACTAAAGTTTAATTTTCTCTATCATCACAGGGAAAGGTATTAAAAAGTCTTTCCACAATAGGCTGAGTAGTAATTCTTAGCTGACTCTTGAGGATACTTAACACATAACTTACCTCCATGGCCTTTCTAGTGATGGTTCTTCTCAGTCTTTTGCTCTTTCTTCATTTTAACATTACTCCCTCTGTCTGTCTTGACATCACTCTCTACAATGTAGTGTGGCCTCTCTCTGAGACCTCTTAAAAGGTCTGTTGCTATTCACTCTCTCAGAAATTAATTAAAAATCTTGATGCTTTCATTCACGAGAGTCATTTAAGAGAGAACACAGCTTTTTTACTTGCTTACCTTGAGGAGGGACATGGCAAACCAGGATCTGCTAGTGCTTTATGGACCTTTTACTATAGCATCTCTTCTTTGCCCTAATTTTACAGACCTCCCTTTACCCTTGCTGATATCTCACATATTAGTGAGGATTCACTGAATTCTCCTGAACTTCCAAGCTATCACACGCAGAACCAGTGCACTGAAACAAAGAGCTGGCTTAGTAGCAGCTATCCAACGTTACTACTTTATCATGAACTATTGTGAAGGTAGGAACTCTATGAAGAAGACTGACATATAAACTTGGTTGTAAATTACTTGTTTGAAATTATTATAATTTGGGTTAAATTCCAATATTCTGGTTGAGATTCATTTTATATATTTTTAAGCGACCTGCTGATTCCTAGTACTCTGTCTGCCTTGAACATCTACTGTTTTTCTTCTGTTTCTATTCCTTTCTGAGCTGACTTGTAACTTAAACAGGCCTCCTGGATTTCACACAAGTATGTAGTAATACAAAGTATGCAAGTCAAGCAGCTTTAAAATATATGGGAAAATAGAAATTATTTTCACTACATGGGAGTTGAACACTGTCGAGAGTCTTCAGTTGTGCTCCTTCACTGGACACAAAGGACAGCCCTGAAATCTGTACTGAATCATATATTAAATATTGGGTTTTCTCACAGAGAAGCATCCATCATATTACTGCTGCTCTTCAGCACAGAAACTGTAATGAGATTATTTGACTTTAATAAATCTTAGGTTTATATACATCTTTTTAAGTAGACAATTACATCCTCCAACCAATGGTATCTGTACTTGAGAAAGCATCATAATGACTCCAAGACTGATAGAGTCATTATAATACTCTCTATTACAATTCTGAACAAAACTACAGCTTAATTTTTGTTTGGTTTAGATGTTTAGGTAAGAATTAGAAACAATGAGAACTGGCATGCCTCAGAAATAAGTATGTACTTTCTTTTGTAAGAAAGAGTTAGCTGGACCTCCATGCCTCTGGAGGTCATCTGTTTTCTCTCATCTGTTGATGTTCATTCCTCATTGGGCATACTCACTTGAGTTAGAATAGTATCACCAGTTTAGGTCACCTTTTGAGTTTGGGCAAGTGGAGGCAGTTATGCTACAGTAGTTAGAGATATGTTGACAAAGTTCATCATATAGGTGGCACTGAAACATGTGGCTCCTGTCTTCCGCATGCATGGTTAGACTGAAGCCTCTGGAGGTCTGACTGCAGAGGCAAACCAGAGTTTTGCTCCATAGAGCCCCAAAAGATATGACACTGTCAAGAAGATGTTATTTACAGGCAGGGTAAAACTGAAGAAATAGAAGTGCCTTTTATGAACAGAAATCAATTTCTCATTCACTACATGTATTGTATTTTATAATAAAGTTGTCAGGTTTACAGATAAACCTTTTCTTCATAGAGAAGCCTGGAAAATCCTGTTAGCAGAAGAGTGACCTCCTTTAAAGTTTATGTGATTGAAAAGTTCTAAATAAACTGTACTTCACTATAGCTCGTTAAATTTCCATTTTATTTAATTTAAATCAGTGTGGTCTATAATCAGTGAAGTTCCTTTGCTGGAGAGAAGGAAGCTTTAGCTTTAGAACAAATACACATGATTTTTTCATTTCCTTAATCTTGTGCTGTAGGTGGTCAGTTCCAACTGCTGCCTTTGGCACTGGAGGTTTGTTTAGTTTAAAGCAAAGTAAAACAGACAGAATAGCTAAATTGAAAAATTGAATTTAACATTTTAAGTGTTATACTGCAGTTTATATAATATCTGTGTTCCCTAGAGTTATGTATTATTGATGTAATGTTCTTTGACACAGATTGATAGGAACCTGAAGTGATTAAAGGGCAGGTAGAAACATTAGGTTTGCTTTTGGAAAAAAAAGCCTGAAATATGGTATAAAATTAATCTGTCTGGCTGAGGAAGATACTGAGGGAGAGCGTAGTGATGCAGTGACAGTGGCTACGTATGATTTGATAGTATCATGGCTGGTAGTCATAATTCACAATCATCTGGGACAATAATGTCAGGATTACAGATAGCTCCTAGGTTTTTGTTTACTACTGACACAGATACCACTTGACTTCCTTTACAGGAAAAAGAGAGTAGTAGTATTTTGATAAGGACAATAGTTTTTAATATCACTGCATTATCTGAGAAATTTGGGAGTGCACAATGACAGTGGAATTTATTCAACACCCATCTCACCAATGCTGTCCCAGACAACCAAGAAGTGAGGGCAAACAGCAGTGCAACAGTTATCTCCTAGTACAGCACAGAATTCCTCTAGGAAACAAAGCGTTGCCCTGTACTGCAGTAATGCACTTTATGACATGAACATTGATCAACTTAGTGTTGTGTGGCAGTCTGTGGCCTTTCTTGCGCTTGAGTTCTGCAGAACATTGCACAGTTTGTCCTGCGCTGGGAGAACTTCAAAAAGGTAGGCCAAGCCTTGGGACACATTCCAATGCCTTTGTATGGCAAAGCCCTTGTATGTAAAAAACTACATTGATCTACTGACCCTCCAGGATCTGAGAACCTGAGCTTCCATCTTTTATGATCTTTCTTTAACTGTCATACTGATTTTCAGTCTTTTAGCAAAAAAGCTATTTGTTTACTGCACTCTACCAGGTGAGCTCTTGCGCTTCCCAAAACCCATGGATTTTGGATTTGTGTTTTTTGCTGCTGTTTATATATATAGCAGTGACCCTATGTTTGAAGCATTCATGCACAATTGGGGAACTACCCCGCTTTTAAGGAAAAAAATCTAAACTGTCCTAGCCCACTGAAAGGGTCACAATTTCAAGGGAATTTTCTCTCCTTAAGCCTAGAAACTGAAAACCTAACATGGACTTAAATGGGGAAATGGAAAGTTGAGCCTGGCCCTTTTTTTTTGAAGGAGAGGCTGGTGTGATTCCTTCCTGGAGCTTGGATGCCTATCTCACAGACATGGAACTGTTCAGGAAGTTCATAACCTAGAGAAAGCTTAAGATGAAAATAATGTATTTGTCCAAGTTTACTATTGTTAGGTGTTACTTTTACCTCCAAATCTATGGTACAGAACTGGAGTATATTATATCACCCTTTTCTCAAGGGTAATATAAACTTTTCTTTAAAACCAAGGATCTAAGTCCACTTACTTTGAATTTAAAGACAAAAATTCTCATTGTGCTCATTGAGAAGAAGACTTGGCCTAAATTTGCTATTTCACCTGAATAATTAATGTTTTAAATGCTATAAAGCTTTTTTTATTTTTTTGCTATCTAAGCAGAATGAGTAGATGAGCAAATGATTTTTCCAGGTAGCCTAGAAAAATGCTGGTCCTTTTAATATCTGAAAATGACAACTTTGCAGTTCTATTCTCATTTTATCCATCATTTTTAATTGCATGGTAGAGTGCTACTTTTTCAACTGCTTGTAACTTCTGTGGTCATTTATTCCACTGCAAAAAGGGTGGGAAACTACTCCATGCCGTTTAATTCTTAAATTGCCTATATTGAATTTTTGCCCTTTGAAAGCTGATATTTATTTTACTGTATCTGTGACTAATAGGTTTCCTAATGGTTATAGTTACAGAGAAGAGGAAAACGAAGACGCTAGTTAAGACATAAAGTAAACATGAAAATTCATCATGCTTCTATTTTTTAGTGCTTCCTGTGCTGAACAAATAGAGTGTTACCTTCTTTTGGTAAAATTCTAACAAGAAGCTTGTGCAAGAATCTGGGAAAATTATCATCCTGAAGAGTAACTTATACCTCCAGAAATCAGCAGACTCTTAAAGTATAGAAGACACCACCAGCTAGCACATGTAGAGAAGTATTAAAAAAGTCTCCTGTCAGAATCAAATGACTTCAGGATTAAAGCTTGAAAAATGAGAGGCTGCAACAATTAAGAAAAAAACCCACTACAGCATAGTTCAGTCAAGGAAATACTGAAAATTACAGAAAGATATTCACCATTCAGAATAGCTTTACTGAATCAAATTCACATTAGCTGAGGATCTAGACATATATGAATGTTTATTACAGATATTCTATTGATATGTAATTCATGGGTGGGGTTGGGAAGAAAGAGGTGATAAAATTTATGGTTGTGACTACAGATTTGCTCCAATTATTTTGGCTGTGTGCCTCTCAAAAAGGGGGGACCGTCTTATTGATGACAGGAATTAGTGAATGCAGTCAGAGTTGTCCCAGCCTAGGGTTTACTTTTGAACAGGTGGAACTGTGGTTGAATAGGGCTATTACAGAGGGTGTACTGACTTACTTCTGAGTCTGTCACCATCATAAGTAAGTCATGTTGAATCTAGGACAAGAGAAGGAGGATACTGTGCTTAATGCACCTAAGATATGGACCCTTTTGGTCAGCAGGGTACACTGATAACTCATATTGAGCTCACCATCAGTCAAAATCCCCACATCCCTTTCTACAGGGCTGCACTTCAGCCTCTTGTCCTCCACTCTATAATATATATAATATAATATAATATAATATAGGATTACACCATCCCAGATGCAGAATCCAGCATAATTGCTCTCAGTAGAAATTGCTTTCAGTAGAGTTTTAACAGATCAGCTATATGCATTATTTTACACCAACCAAATTATGCTGTAGGACAACAGAGAATGACACTGTGGGCACTTTGTATCATGTCTCCCAGCAAGCTGAGCATACCTCTTAACTGCTGCCTCCAGGTATTTGTTGATGAACCTGTGTTGTCTCATTGTTTTCTTGCCATTTAGAATTCCTTTCCTCAGGATAAACCACATTTATCTTTGTTAAGCATCTCTAAAAAAATAAAGCAAAGACAGTTTTCTAATTTAGTCAATGGATATGTTATGATAATGTGTTTAAAATTCACTGTAAGTCATTCTGTTGATGTCAGTATTATGGGATACCCTATAAATGAAATTGTATTGTATTGTAAACCTGTCCAGCAGATCAATAGATATTATAAAGGACCTTCCTCTTAGATGAAAACGTAAGTGGTCCAAACCTGATTATTTATTTGAAATAATCTTTGAGGAGAGAATTTCTTTTTTGGATTAAAAAAAAAAAAAAGGGAATCAAGAAAAAGCTGAAAGATTAATAAGAAACACTTTCTAAAAGCTTATAGATAGCCAGTTGTACAGTAGCAGAAGTATATGAGGGAAGAAGGGAGATTGATAATATTGCATTTTGTATATTCTTTGTATCAGGTCCTAGATCTCCTTGTGTTAGTGTTGAGATGCTTCTAACTTCTGCTAGAAACAGACCAGGCCAGAAGCTGAAAATGTAATGTAAAGATTGCATTATTGTTTTTGTTTCTAGCCTTGAGATGTGTGCATATATGAGCATGTGCTCATCCTGTCTTAATTACAGTGCAGATTGATGTAACTTAGCTCTTAGTCATTATTCTCATAACAGTGTCTATATGCTATTCCAACTGATTGTTCAGCTATGTAAAAAAGAGATTAAGCTAACATTTGGTAAATTAGACAAGTAGCATAAAATATCTGAGCAATACAAAAAGTGTTAGTTTTCTTTATACCTCCTTAAGTCTGAGAGAATTCACTGAGAAGACCAAGAAACTTTTAACATCTTGTGCCAGAATTTGAAGTTCAATTAACTTCAAGGCAGGGTGGTACTGGGGCTTTTGGATGAATGCATGTGAATTCTTTTGCTGGTTAAATGTAGAATCCATTTGTCATGTCACTTCAGGCATAGTGATAATTACATAGTCAAATAGCTACCTGCAAATATCACAGATATACCTTCCTGTGCTGTTAGCACAGTTAACTAGACAAAATAATTTTAAACATATGAGCTCTATTTACTATATTAGTAGCACAAAAATTTACTATATTAGTAACATAAAAAAAGGCCGCTGCTAGATTACATCTCAGACTGGCATGCTAATGCTACATCTTGCTGAAATGAAATAATTATGTTTGGAAGATAATTCTTTTTAAACAAACAGCTCTATTTTCAGATCTTTGAGATTGCATGCTTGCTCCAGAAGTAATTTGAAATTACCTAAACCATTTACAATTTCTTTGTACTTTGGCAGCACTGTGATAAACATATTATTCTTGGTAAGTCATAGGATACTATGTTTATTCTGAGATCTCTTGCACTTTCCATTTCAGAAAATCAGGAAATTGTTTGTTGGCATTTGAACTGAACATAGACTACTAATTCATACCAGGAGTACTGGCAAAGTGAATTTTAAGAAAAGTTTTCACATTTGATCTTTTTCCTGGAGTTGCAAGTGTGTGGGAAAATTATTAGAGTCTTCACAGTACTTCCTTAAGTGTGCAACAACAGCAAATTGGCTGCAGAAAGTCAAGTATTCAGGTTACTGTATCCTGTTCTTCCAGCTTATTTTTATTTCCATGGTAATGAGCTAGAAATTATCTTTGCCTGTTCCTTCTTTTACGCATCCATTTTGTTTTTCCAGGCCATGCTTAATCTGTTATTTTTCTGTTGAGACATCTATGTTCACATCTGTCATATGCTGTCATACCTTCATTGTTACCTTTTTCCCATAGCTGTAAGGTCTTCATCTCTGTTTTCCCTAAATTTCAAAATGCTCTCTCCAAATCATTTATATAAACCTGTGCTTAAATTACAACACTCAGCAATTTTGACTTTATCAGCTTGACCCCTCTGAACCATCAATTAGCCTTGTTACATACAACAGGTTCAGGTTTCCTGCCTTTATCTTAACCATAGAATATCTCAAATTTGAAGGAACCCATAAGGATCATTGAGTTAAATCAACTTACTTAATTTTTAATATTTTTTTTTCTGCTGTATGTCTGTTTTTGTCTCTTAGATTGGGAGTTATTAAAAGCATTTAGTCATTTTAAGATGAAAGAATGTGTCTGACTGAATGTTCAAAAGCACTGCTACCCAATTCCCACTGAAAGTAACATTCATTCTCTTCATTAAAAAGATCCGCGGTCTAGCCTTGCAGACTTTCTCCAGGCTTCCATCCTGGGTTCTTTGTTCTCTTCCTCTGCCAGGAGCTTGGTTCTTTCCCTTTGGTCTTAAGGGCAACAAAACTCAGTACCACTCAGTCTGTGGAGAAAGTTTGCAACAATGTGGAACAGTGCTCCACCAGTTTCTTCCTTCCATTTCCAACACAGTTTTTTAGGGTTTTCCAACTAACCATAGCACAACAGAAGAGGTATAAATTGTGAGATTATAAAGCCAGAGAGACTGCTGCAGACTGATTATGGCAATTCCAACTGATATCTAGAGATAGATAGAGCTCCCTTGTTATACGTTTTCTCTGGCTTTGGAAATCTTTTTGTGTCACTCTGGAAAGAAAGCCAAGCGTGCAAAAGCTTTTGGCAAAAAAAATGGGGCTTTGGCAAAATGTTTTTGTTTGGCTCAAGAAACTCAGGTTTTCCTTTTTTTACTCTCATCTGCCAGGAAGTCTATTTGACTATTTAGAAATAACCCTGTCAAAATTTCATCAAAGCCACTGTTTCTTTCCAAAATTTAGCAATTTTGGCATAATATTAGTTGGAGCAGAAAATGCTTAACTGAAAAAATTCAGACTAGTTTCATAAATGTTATTACATTCATTAAGTACATATGTAACAGTAGCTGAATTAGCTGTTTACACACATCAAGTCATCTGAAATATTATAAAGTCAAACAGGGCTCAAGAGTTGGTTGAGTAACAGTGTCATAAATTTTAGTAACCCTTGATCTTAACTCAGTGTTCATTATAACACGTCTGTGAACAAAACTAATTGAAACATCAGGAAATGGTCAAAATGCAAATGAAAAACATTAGCAAAAAAATTGAGAGTATTTCAATTACTTACTTAGAATAATGCATTAGTGTGACCACCAAATTAAATTTCTATCCATGTCCTGACACACTTTTTTATTTGAAACCATAGCACAGTTATCTATCAAATGAATTATTTTTTGCTGATAGTAATATTAGCTTATAAGTAACACATGAGAACTTCAAAATAGTTTAATACAGGGCATTAGGTGTCATTATTCCTAACCCTTTAATGTTACTGTAATCAGGAAAATTTTCAATATATATAATTTTCCTGTATTCATGGTAATATATAAATGAAATTAAAATTAGACCTTTTTGAGTCTTTTTTGTGCTTCATCTGATTTTTGTTCTTTTTCATATAAAAGTAGTCAAGTCTTCTGAATCTTAGTCAGGACATGTGAAGAAATGAAGGACATTTCCCAAACAGCTACCATTGTATTCATATGTAATTTCTTCTACAGTTTCTCTCTGGTTTGTGTGTGTATGTGTGTGCCTGTACATTTATTCCATCTGTAAGATCCTATCTCTCCATCTATCCTTTGCTTGATATGTCTGTCTTGTATGACCAGGATGGTATTTGATGGTACTATGGACGAAGTATAGAAATAAGATGGCCTGAAGAAATTGAAAGGAGCTGACAGGAACTTTTCACACCAAATTCAGTGTAAGTCTTTGCTTTCCATGCTTTTCAAACTAGGACCCTGTGATGTACAACTGTATTTTGAAAGCTATATTGCAATACTGTTTTTCCTAAACACCATACGCTATCACGGAATCGCTTCTTATGTAGAGTTGTTCTTTCAAACTTGCCAAGCATATTTCTTGTTTCTAAAACTACTCACTATGCCGAAAAATCTTATATATAAGGGTAATAGATGCCATTTTCTAATGGGCTTGCTCTCTCTAGGGCCATGCTGTCAGAATACTGGTGAAGCCAAAAGAGGGAACCTTTAGCTGACTAGCAGAGACAATCGCTGATGAATACTACTGTCTGTAGGCAGCTTTCCAAAGGCAGACAATCCTTCCAAACAGTCACCAGAAATATTGCCTGTTCAAAGAGTAAACCAAAAGGGTGCTTAGGTACATGTTAAGAAGAATCATAACCTGGAGCATTTTGTATCCTTCCCTACATGCAAACTTAAACATTCATGCTATTTTTAGAACTTTTTCAAACCATAACCTGAAGTTTGAGGTCTGAAAAGTCACTTTAGGCTCTGGAAACCTGTATGTGATATGTGGGTAAAGGAGAGATACAAAAAAAAGTGCTAGAGAGCTTGCACTTGCCGTAATTTTCAGCAGTACATGTATGCCGTTATAAATATCAGAAAAAAAAAAAATCAAGTCAGTTTCATATCACTGATAAATACTGACTCTACTCAGTTATAAGCGCTAAAGGCTGACAGATTCAGCATGGATGTTTAGTTGAAATAGATGAATTACTCACCTGATTATATGCATAATAGGCTCAGGTTATACAAAATGGGTGCAAAGATCTCAGAACATTTTCTTTAGTTAGCATTCTGATGTTTGTACTTCACTTCCAGCTTAGGAGAGAAAAAAAGAAAATGAAACAATTTAAAATAAATGTTTCTCATCACAAAATTTCTGTTTGGGTTTCAGTTTTGGTGAAACACTGGCCTAATTTCCACTGTTTAGGCATACACACACTGTGTATATAAATATACCAAACCTCAGATGTCAACACAATGTATCTACCAGTATATAGAACTTAACATACCTGTCGAGTCTTAAGCAATTTACATAAAACCTAAAGCACTTTGCCTAACTTTCCACTACTCCTGATGCCTTCAACTTACACTACTGGGAAGACACTGTCTTCCCTCCTGCTCCAAGACCCTTCGTTGGACACAGCTCCTCTCATGAGCTATGGAGAGTTCGCTTTTTGGCTGCAATCATGTGCCAAACTCTTGTGACACTGGGAATATCGTGTGCTGGGTTAAAAAGGTGCACAGAGATGGTTAGAGATCTGCGACACTGA